GCAGCAAGGGCAAGCTCAGGCCCAAGCACAGGCCCAGGCCCAAGCTCAGCAGCAGCAACAAGCTCAGCAACAACAACAAAGGCAGGCAAGCGGCAGTGCTACGCCGTCAGCAGGCTAATCGTACAAAACGGGCAAAATAAAGGAAAGTTTCTTGTTTGGGTTCTAGAACCACTGGTTTGGTTGGTGCATGGGAAGCGATGAATATTGGTGTTGATCTTGTCATGAAAAAAGCGTGCAGGCAAAAAGAAAGGGCACCATTCTGGTATTGGCTGTACAGTTGCTTACCCTTTTTATGTATGAGCAACGGATGGTTGGTATGGCATATTCGTGATGAGTTGGAGATCATCTGTAGATACATTTTATTAATTATTCGAGGCGTCAACCAGGCGTATCATTACGCTAAGCCTCGAAGTCATCGTCCGTTCAAGGCGATTATAAAAAAAACACACCACCCTCGTATGCAATAGCATTCACCATGTCGCGCATCCACATGTGAGACGATGAATAGGAAATACGAGCACAACAAGATAGAATAAACACATCATTTATCTTAACATTAATGCCATGTCTATACTAATGAAACCCAACGCCGTTCATGCACATAAGATGATACAGCCCGCCTCGATGCGGGAATCTCATGAATATCCATCATTCACTATGTCTCACTCAGCTTGATCCACCGTGCCCGCCCCTAGAGCTATCACCTTGGAGCAGTAGCCTGGGTTTGATGAAGTCCTCGTCTAGATGGTGGAACACGCTGGCCGGATCTTCCGAGGACCAGAGTTGTCGGAGGGCATTGGTTGCTGTTATAGGTTGGCCACCGGGGGTCTCTGTCGTGGGAGTTGCATATGCACTGTCTACTCGAGATGGAGGAGCTGTGCTAGCCCGTGGCAGTGGTGATCGTCGCGCTGGCGGGGGCAGGTCGGAGACGTCAATATCACTACCAATGTCGGAATCATCGTTATGGCGAAGGAGATCGGATCGCTCCGGGATAGAGTTCTTTCGACTCTTGCTAACAGGGCGGCCACCAGTGTGCGGAGACGAGGCGCCTGAGACATAACTAGCAGACTGGCCAGCCTCGAGACTGCCAAGGGCAACGCTGCCATTCCGGCGAGGATTATATCCGATCCCCGTTCCTGAACGCTTGACCTGAAGGCCTCCGCCAAAGGTCTCGATATCGAACTCATCATCACTGTCAACTTCCTCAACAACGCCGGTCCGAATACCCAGGATCTCAAGCATTCGAGCGGTCGTACCACCAAAGATGATGACAGTAAGCACGACAACAACTAGAACAGTAGCTCTAAGTGCGGGCGCGTTGTCGCCGGTGAGCAAAGCAGCCAGCGCCACGCCGACAGCTCCACGGAGGCCAGCCCAGTAGAGCATGGCCTGGTAGTTATAGGGCAGTTCGTCGCCAACCTCTTGGCCGCGTCTGCTGGCGCGATATCGGATGAACCAGTTAATAGCCTTGGACAAAGGGAATACAGCGACCCATCTGGCAGCACAGACAGCCAGAATAGTGACAATGATGAGAGGCGGCTGGAATGAGAGGTTGTTGTCTGTGAACAAAGCCAGTCCCAGGTAAATGAATATGAAGTTCTCAGACAACTGCGATAAGATCTGAAATATGAACTTGGTGGTGAGTTGAGTGCGGCGTGACATGTTGAAATAGGCATAGTGCTTGAGTGTAATACCGCAGAAAAGCAACGACACGATACCTGCGTAGAAATTAGAATCTGTGTAGTAGCACAAGTCGGGAGTGGAGCGACATACCAGACATGTGAAGGCCATGAGAGAAGAAGTAAGTGGCGTAGGCGATCAAGACAATCAAACAACTCTCAATCTTGGGAATACGGCGGAGGTAGGTAAACTTGAGCAGCAAAGCAGTGCCCACGCCAACAATGAAGCCAATAAACATGCTGCAGAAGAAGACGAGCAGAAAGATTCCTGTGCCTTCGAAGAAGCTGACGATGCCAAGATTAGCAGCCTCGCCCTTCTTGTATTTCTGCGCAGTTTCGAAAATTACAATGGCGATAGCGTCATTGAGAATCGATTCTCCAAAGATGATGGTATACAGCTTGGGGTCAACCTTGTAGGTGTTGAAGATTGCGAGAATAGTAACAGGGTCAGTAGCGGAGAGAGTTGCGCCTACGGAAATCGCATCGACAAAGGTCATGCCCAACGAACCGGGGAGGAGTGTAAAGATGTACAGGATCAGGCCAATAACGACAGCCGACAGAAAGGTTCCGGCAAAGGCAAAGGTCAGAATGGTGCCAATATTGCGGAAGAAGTTGGCCTGATGTAGCTCATAGCCCGAGGATAGGATAATAGGCGGCAGAAGAAGGTTGAAGAAGATTTGGTAGTCGAAACTGATCATGTTGCGAATAGAGTCGCCAGAAGCTATCATCAAGACAAGCCCGACAACCATTCCTACAAGGAGAAGACATGTATGTAAGCCATTGATCCCCGGGTTTTGATTTCGGGGAGCGCACCAGCAAAGATTGATATAACCGTTTCGTGTATAGCAGTAACCTTCTTCATCTGCAGCATATAGCTTGTGAAGAAAGCAATGATGAGCAGCATAATCGAGATGAAGAGCGCCCACGCCGCGAACAATTCCTTCTGGGCAGAGTCGCCCTCTGGAGGCCATCGTCAGTATATCTTGTGGTTCATGAATTGTCTCTTTTCGAATGGGAAAACGCACCCTCAGGATCGCTCTCTTCGTCGGTCGCTCGCTCTATGTTCGATTCGTCAGTCTCACGTTGCGGAACCAGAGTCGAACTCGATAGGTGATGAATAGCGTACTAAGGAGCTGGAAGCCCATTCCGACGAGCTTTGCGGAAGCCATTGTATGTGCGTCGTCTCCCGTGTCCGGTCTCGCTCGGGTTGTTTGCGATAATTTAAAGCCGTCGCGATCGTTCAGATCAAGTGGGAAACCCTTCGCGCGAGCCTCGTAAGCTGCGACACTGGAACATTCGCAAGGGAGCACGAGTATCGAGAGGAAGCGGTATTGGAACCGCAGGACGAATTGCTGTAGATTTAGTTGCTGCTGCAGTTGCTGCTGACGACGTCGACACGAAAGAAGAGTCCAGGCAGCAAAATAGCGAATGTTGGAGGGAACAAAGTTGGCGTGCCCTGGTCTGGGTAATGCGATTGGAAGTTAACTAGAGGGATAACCAAGTACTGCTAACCCAAGGTTAAGGTAATGGAACTAAGCTCCATACCTTAAGTGCAAGGTGGGCCAACTTAGCAGTCAAGATAGGTACAGGTACAACCAGATGAAAGGCGCCAGCTTTCAACAGAACAAGACTCTGATTGGCCCATCTCTGATGCAAAGGATATTACCTACCAATCCGAGTTGTTCACATTTGGATCAAGTTGATTAAGGTAAATGGCCTTGTTAAACATTCAAATTCGAAGATATATTCTGACCGATAGGGAGTCAACTATAAATTCTATTTTCCCCTATGGATTCTATCAACACTCAAGAGAAAGATGATGTAAGATCATTCCACTATGAAGTTGTCATGATATATGCCTTGCCTCCTGTACGTGGTATAACCCATCATGCTAAGTAATACCAACCTCGGGACTTGAAACAACGAAACAAGCAAACATATCCAGACTCGGGGTCTAGTTTGCTTTCAGCTCGTACAGCATTGGACCCCATGTAAAGTATGTTAGTAGTTTTGTTTTGCTAACCAACCATTAATGGCTTCGTGGTCTCCATAATCGACAAACTCACAGTTCTTGACTATCAATTCCCATCTATTCCATCCATGCACGTTAGCGGGGCCGTTGGTGGGGGATAGGGTGTCCTGTTGAGGCTCTTCAGTAGGTCAATCCGCTAATCATACTGGAATTTAGCACCTGGGAGCGCGGGGGACGACCCGACGGGCAACCTTGAGACGCTGCCAGGTCCCCTACACTTAGACCTAAAGCCTTCACTTCCATCCACGGGAAGCTGTCAACTTCACAACCTGCCTGGCTGAACAACTCCGCTGTCGCGTCTACGACGAGCATTAAAAACTACAGCGTCGATCACGCAAATAACCTGTAGGAGCACTCGCGATCGCAATGTATCACCTCGCCAAAGGCATTTACCTCTATGCGACCAGCAAAGAAGGTACCTTGATCACCTCATAAGTTTCTTAGGTTCTCTCGAACGCTAACCTTGCTATCTTTCTAGAATACTCTGTAATTCTTCTAGGCCTTGATAATGCCGGGAAAACCACCTTTCACGAACAAGTCAAGTCCATGTTTCTACCAAACAGACCCGACCCGAAGCTCAAGACAGTACCCACCGTAGGCCAGAACGTTTCGACGATACCCCTTCAAGACATGTACCTCAAGCTTTGGGACGTAGGCGGTCAGCACTCGCTCCGCAAGCTCTGGGAGAGTTACTATGCAAGCTGCCATGCTATAGTCTTCATCATCGACAGCACAGATATTGGCGACGGAAACATTGAACATGAAGAGAACGTTGGCAGGCTGGAGGAGTGTCGGCTAGTCCTCGAGGACGTCCTACAACACTCCGAAACTGAAGGGGTACCACTTCTAATTCTAGCAAACAAACAGGATCGCGAGGATTGCGTCGAGACAATACGAATTAAGGAGGGTCTAGTAAAGAAGGTCATGGAGGGAGACAAGGGCTCTGCTGTCCGTGACTCTCGTGTGCTGGCCATGAGTGCTCTTACTGGCGACGGAGTCCGAGAAGCTATCGAGTGGGTAAGGACCAGAGTACAATGGAACAAGGAGTCTCGACCGCCTGTGATGCGGTAGTTTCTAAGAAGAGCGGCCTTTATGTGCGATCACTAGAGCTTATGAGCTACGACAGTACCTGGTTTGGCGTATGTATCGGAGTTTGTATGGAGCATCAGTAAATCACTGTTTAGCCTTGAAGCACGGGAAACACTAGGCGAACGTTTTGCGGGGTATCATGGTTTCTATTTTCCTCTGGGTTTATTGTTTTTCATGGTATTAAGTTGCAGATGTTAGCATCACCTGTCGTTCTCGGCTGTCAACTCAGCCATGAGTCCTCCCTTGTCCCTTCGCTTTGCATCCTCAGCCAGCTTACTATCCACTAGGTCAGATAGCTCCTTAGATCGGTTGAGTGCTCCTTGAGCACACTGGATGAAGAGTGGTGCGTCAAGAGAAGTTCCTCCCAGTTTGGCAATCTGACAAATCTCGCCATGCTTGTTGAGACTGTATGTGCAGTGAGAGACTCGCAGTTGCTCCTCAAGCCAGTTGGTATCAACGAGGACCTGGCTTCCATCTTCACCAAAGAAGCTGAAGGTGACACAGAAAGGGGAGTGCAGCCAGCTTAGAGGCACGGGCTCCCGTTCAGCAGGTGTGTATATGGTGAGGTTTTCTCCCTCAATGCTGGAATCTGGCTTACGGAAATGTCGAAGAGCTGCAACAACTGCTAGACAAGCCGCATCTGTAAGGTTTCCATCATGCGTAAGGACGTGAAGATCGACTCTGATAGACCAGCATTTCTGGCCGGCGATGAGGCATAGTGACTCGGTGTCTAGCGCACCAGATCTCCTGATTGTTTTCTCGAGAAGCCTGGAGAGAAGAACCTCCTCGAGTGAAGGGCGATTGACCTCATATGAAGGGGCAACCATGGGACTGAGTTCTGATGTGATTGTGAAAACTCCGTCGAAGGGACGGTCTGAGTATGGCACAGTGACTTCTGCTGAGACTTTTGCTAGAACTCTAAGAGATTTATTAGCAAGACATATACACCACCAAGATAGAATAGCGAAATACCTTGTTTTTCCATACTTGACTTCCGCAACTCCATATTCATCTCCAAAGGTGAGTTCAAGAGGCCGAAACTCGTCGAATTTGCGCCCGTCTAATCGCAAACCCTCATCGAGAGCTTGGGTGACAAAAGTCCTCTCAGAAAGAGAAGGTTCAGCTTCGCGAGGCATGATTGACTATTATTTTTGTGTGAATATTTCGTGACAGGAAATGCTGTGTTTATAAACTGTTAAAGCGTAATAGACTGAGAGAAACATTGAAGAAATTCTGCCGGGCGGTGAGTTCCCATTTATGGTAGGCCTGCTTCTCATGTACGCCTCGCGTCGGCAACGTTCAAGACTTCTTATTGTCATTAAAACACCATTTCTTCAAGAATCTATTGAGGAACTATCGCCATGACTACCGCGCATAGACCTACGTTCGATCCGGTCCGTATTCTCCCTTCTGTTTCTTCAGCGCATACTGACTTTTGCAGGCCCGTGGCAAAGAAGCCCTCCGAGGTCCAGCCTACCATCAACGCCTCCTCCCAGCCCACACACAACTCAAGTATCGTCAAGCCGGTCAAGGCGGCGATGCTGACGAACCGACGCACGATCTCGCTGCCGAGCTTCTCGCTGCTGAAGCCGCCCATTTCACCAAGAAGAACGGCGCCCCTGCCCTCATTGATGATGCCGACGAGGACGACGAAACCAGCATGTCCAATGGCGCGAAGCGAGCGCTTCCAAGTGCCGATGGCGAGGGAGAAGACCTAGAGGCGAAGAGACGGCGGATCTTGGCAGAAACAAGAGATATCGATGCCGACGACAGCGAAGAGGACGACGACGACGACAGTGAAGACGATGACGATAGCGATGATGACTCCGATGCAGAGTTACAGAGAGAGTTGGACCGTGTACGAAGAGAGCGAGAGGAGAGAAAGAAAAAAGAGGTAAATCTGATCGATTCTCTGATGCAGATAATGGTTTGCTGATACACTTCACAGGAGGCCGAGCGACTCAAAGAAGAGGAAGAGGCCCGAGAACGAGATATTGCCCTGGGCAATCCTCTCCTCAACAAGCAAGATTTCAATATGAAGCGCCGTTGGGACGATGACGTGGTATTCAAGAACCAGGCGCGTGGCACAGAAGACAAGGGCAAGAAAAAGGAGTTTGTAAACGTAAGTTTGGTGATTCTTTTGTTCGCAAGGCTTTCTCTGCCAGCGAGTTCTATATGCATTTCTTTTTCTGTTTATTTTTCCTTTAAAGACGAAGAGACATCCTTCGCTAACCCATACCTTTAGGATCTCCTCCGTTCCGACTTTCATAGGCGATTCATGAGCAAGTACGTTAGATAATGACATAGACAAACTCCTCCATTTTAGACATTAGATACCCTGAGTTTTAAATCAAGCACTCTCCTGCGACCGTCTTCGTCCGTCCTTTGACTCCAAAGCCTGCTCGGTGAGGATCTTGTTCTCCAGGCCTTCGAAGGCTCCGAGAACGTTGCCGTACTTTTGATAGGTTCCCTCGCGGTAACCATCGTCAATGCGCTGGATGTTACCCTCCTCAGTCCATCGCTTACCAATGAGCTCGTCGAATGTCTCGTTTGGCTGGCGCTCGAGAGCCCAGAGAGCCTTGTAGGCTCCGCCAAGGGCGCAGGCGTTGCCACCAACGTCGAGCTTGTAAACACCGTCGCTGCCGCCGAGGACCTCGCCAATGACGCGGGCGATGGCTGGGTTAAGAGAGCCACCTCCAACGAGGTAGATGCGACGGGGCTGAGCTGGCAGGCCGGGTCGAAGGCTCTCAACCAGGTTCTGAGAGCGCAGGCGCATAGACAGGGCCTGAGACTCAACAATCACTCGAGCGTCAGTCTCCTTGTCCCACCCTCCCTTGACTTCCTGAAGGTCAGAGCCGTCTGGCTCGCATGAGTATCGCCAAGTACCTGCACGGATGTTGGGCACCACTTCGGTAAGGTAGAAGTACAGACCAAGCTTGCGCCTATCGTCCTCCTTGGCAGCACCCAGAGCAGGGGTGTTCTCAATGGCCTTGTTGAAGTTCTCCCAGCCGGTAGGGCCGTTGTCAGGCTTGGGAAGTTGGTCTCGCACTCGCTCGCGTGCTAGGCCTCCGTTCTTGTAGCACAGCATAAACATGTAGTGGCCATCGGTTGTGGGGTGGTTGAAGAAGTGGTAAGCACCATCAGGCTTGTACTTTGGAGTGTTCATGAGGAATGTCGTCGAAGTACCGAGAGAGACGATGGCGTCGAGAGGTCGAAGGGGAAGGGCGAGAATAGTTCCGGGGTTGTCACCGGTGAATGGTGTGATCTGGCAGTCGGGGTGGAAACCGTGACGGTCCACGAAATAGGGAGAGATGGAGCCCAAAACAGCAGCGCCATCGAGGCAAGGCTCACCCAGTTTCTTTCGTAGGTTGAGGGCCTCACGCTTGCTTCCAGCAGCAAGCTCGAGAAGAGGTTCGCTGTATGTTTGGCGGGACATGTCCCAGAGGTTCATACCACAGACATCGCTGACATCCATGGGGGCGATGGCGCCGAGGAAGACGGATGCCAGCCATGAGGAGACGAGGGAGATGTGAGCCGTCTTGGCGTACATGTCTGGGAGGTCCTTCTTGAGGCGCATAATCTGGGTTCCAGTAAATCGCTGGTAGATTTTTTTAGTGTCTGATTTTCCCTGGACATTTGGGAATCTCAACTTACATGGTGGGCACCGCTGCCTGTCACCTCAGCAAGCTTCTGGCGACCGCCAAGAGCAGCATCAAAAGCGTCACATTGAGCCTGGGTGCTCTGATCCTGCCAATTGGGCGACCATTGGTGGGAAAGGGCCTGTGGCAGCTGAACAACCAGGGGGAGACGAGGATCGAGGTGGTGAAGAATCTCGTAGGCATTGCCATTCCAGTAGACACTGCCATGCTGCTGGCAAGAGCCGCTGATACCGCGAATATGAGATAGAGGAACCGGCATAGACTCGGCCAATCGGTCCAGGACGAGATCTACAGACTCTAGCCACATGGCAACGGGGGCATAGACCTCGCCTGTCTCCTCGTAGACGTGGACACCTTTCTTGATGCCATATTTGTGGCCAAAGTCCTTGTCGAAGTCGACCTTGGCTTCACCTTTGACCTTGAGGTCTGAATCGACAACCAGAGCTGGACATGGGTTAGCAAATTGTGGCGGCAGCTTAGAATTTGGTCAACGTGCCTTTGAGCTGCTGAGTCGAGAGATCGAAGCCTAGGTATAATGGCTTAAAGTCCGAGGACTTGTCTGGGGAGTTGGATCGAGCAAGGAACGGCATTGTGAATAGCTTCGGGTAAATGTCAAGCTGTTGAATCTATATCCAAGGGCGCCAACCACGGCCGACGTCAATGGTAGCGAGATGACGAAATGAGAGCCAACTCAGTGGGTGACGTAAGAATTGGCAGTCTTGTAAGTGCGTGCGTGTAGTGAAGAGGATCTTTTACAGTGAGCAATGGGTGAAAAGCCTCAGTAGAATGGAAGGAATACGGGTCAAGTTGTGTGAGACAGGGAAAACACCAGAAAAAGCCACGAGCTGGGCTTTATAGCTTATAACGCGTGTACCTTGCCTTAGCTGAGCAGTCAGTCTAAGGTAGGACAACAGGACAGTAGAGTAACTGCATCATGTTAGACCGCCACCCTCCAACAGGGAAGAATGAGATAGACACACACTAAAAGGTTGTCTTGAGTGGGTAACATGCATCAGAATCAACTCCAAAGTTAGCATTATTAACTGTAAAGGCGTGGATGCAGTAATGGCAATGCCAATAGTACACCCATACAAAGCTGATAATAATTCTGTGCTGTTACTTTATCTATTCACCTACCTACAAGTCACCAATATCATGCCGTGAAAATTGGGTTGAGAGGTCATATGAACACAATTCCATGCCCGGGGAATATATCCGCCTGTCTACCTATTCGCTGCTGCTAAGAAGTGCATAAAGTATGGATTACCTGGTAGCTGGGTCATCTTTGTAATACTGGTATGCAGTTTTTCTATTTGACATATCCTCTCACTCTCTCTCCTCAAGATTATCCAATTCCTACTCTGTAGTAGTACTTGAAGATACCATCATAAGAACAAACTACGTAACTCTCAAGAAAATATGGAGATTTTTTCTCTCACTTTCCATCCTCCGTATCAACGTGGGGTTGTCTTCTCCGCTGAATGAGTCGTTCAACCCAACGAAGCCAACCCCAGTTTTTCATCAAGACCCTTGATGATCGATAAAAGGAAGCCTGGGCTAGCGTCGGGAGGGGCGTGTAGTTACAACAACGTCCATTGCAAACACGACACCTCAACACCTGAGAAACCTTTTTAAGCATTCACATTCAGGCAAGTCGTGCACGATACGGCTCAGGCCGAAGGAGGTGTGGAAACGGAAGAATAGGAATTGATCACCAGGGACAGACGCTACAAAAGTCATGAAAAAGAAGCATGATAGAACAAGACTGACTAACTATTGGGAGGATTAGTATGACCAAGAGTCTGTCTGACACGCTGCTTAGCTCTGTGCATTATGATATCTTGACTTCCAATTACTGAGCAAGATACGACAATATTTAAATATCAGAAGCTCACGGTCATATCGTGACATGTTCTCAACAATCAATTCTTCACTTTCTTCTTCCTTCAATTCCAGAGCTCTATTTGCAATTAGCCTAAATCCATCAACAGCTCCTACCCCAGCCAGTCCCATCTTCAGTTTATATCCCGGCCAATAGAACCCGTGACCTCTCAAAGTCTGGCTGCTCCTCGTGAACAAAGTCAAGCCAATGAGTAACCAGCGCTTCTAACTGACAGTAAGAAGGGGGCGTGAGGAAATTGATTCCAGTTTCTACCAAAATTCTTGACTTTAAACACAGAAAGTCATTGGAATATTTCTCTAATGACTCCGTCTTCGAGAGTAAGGTATTTTGGTTGATGTGCTCAAGGTTACCTATATCATAGCCATGAGCCTCAAACGTGGGGGTCAGTCATTCAGGTCCGGTGACATCCTTGCCGCCTGGAATCTCATCATCATCTTTCTTTGACATCATGGACAGTTCGGTGTTACTCCTCTTGTTCTTTGTCTAATTCCCTCTTCTCCTGTTGGGGCGCGTCTAGGCTGGAAAACGGAAAACGCCACAAGGATGACCTGCATGCACCTCTCTTATCTGCATTTTCTATCCGTACATATCTAGTGTACACACATTACAGTCTGTGTAGCATACCTAGTCTATCTCATGAGTTGCTGTCGTCTTTATGAGTGTAGGCCTTTCCTCCTGACCCTTCAAGTTATGTGCCCCTGGAAACACACTTCCTTATCCCTTCTCTTCCGCCTTTAGAATACACATGTCTATGGTCTGCTCTATTGCACCAATTGCTTCATATCAATGCCGGCACTGGCCTGGAACAAGATGGTAAAATCATGAGAAAGAAAAGGGTGTGCACTTTTCACTGCATATGCACATGCAGATGCCATCGGTCTTCCTTCACCGACGGTCAGGTCGACAGCTGCCGGTTATTGAGAGATCCTAGTCTGAACCTCTTACGGCCTCCCATCCGGCTGGGCTCCACTGGCCCGCAGCTCAAGCCCCAAGAAGCCGAGCTAGACCCTAGCCAACGAGGGGCAAGGTTGGCTTGGACGTGTTGTACCAATTCACAGGGCAGCTTCGAAGAGAATAAGATGCAGCATGGCCGTGATCGATCCCCAGGATCCCAGGCTAAAGTCTCGCTTCTGACAGGGCATCCTCCACTCTATTGCTTGTTTCTGTTCCTGAGACCGTCGCCTTGTTCATGGGAGCCATTGGGTTCGTGAACATGACCACTACTCTTGTGATCGTGGTGCTCGTGATGCTCATGATTGTGGTTCGACTCGCCCTCTGCCTCAGACGCATCCTCTTCGGTCTCTGGTGGCAGAACCACAGTCCCAGGGATAAAGTCGTCAAACCTTGCCTTGGCGGTAGCCTCCTTGGGCGAGAATCGGATGCGAACTCTTCTGACACCGCGAACTTTCCCTCCGACTTGAGTCCGCACCGCGTCTTCGACTTGCTGTGTTGTGTCAACAGACCACGCACCGGGTACGGTCATCTCGAGGTCCACAAGATAATTCTGGCCTGATTTGATACCGCTCACTTCGCGTAGAGCAACTTGGTGTCCTTCAACCACGTTCGTAAGTGCTTTGTTGGCCTGTTTTGTTACTGAAGACTTGATCTCATCATCAATGCCCTGGTCTGCCAGTTCGCGAAAAGCAGCAACTGTGTTTCCGGCGCCAGCCTGGATAACCATGATGGAGATGAGAAGACCGCCGACGGGATCCAGCCACGCCGCGTTCTCCATTGCATTAGCTCCCATGATGGCTGCCAAAGTGACGAACCCCGTTAAACTGTCGACTCGGTGATGAATGGCGTTCGATGCAAGAACTGACGATTTACGTTCTCGAGCAACCTTCATTGCTGCAATTGGTCAGCTCTTATACTTTCAATCATAAGGGTTACGCTTCACACGCGCTGTCTAGCACCGCGACCCTGAGAGCTGGGAGAATACTTACTCGCATGGTAAAGCCATTCCTTAATCAGAATGGTCCCTGCTGCAAGCCAAGCGGCATGCATACTCGGGATCCCGAGTGCTGCAGCTCCATGAGAATGGCTATGACCGTGTCCGACGTGTTCCAGAATACCATGTGCGGCTTCAGGGTAAAAGTGTCCATAAAGACTGATACCGCTGTCCCAGCCCATGTAAAGACCTCCGGCTAAGAGCATGCTCGAGACACCGAGAGATCCCAGACTCTCTACCTTGCCAAAGCCCATGGGGAATTTGTCTGTTGGTGGTTTGAGACTCCATGTGACTGTGGCGAGTGTCAAGATATCGGATGCGAGATCTGTGATGCTATGCCATGCATCGGCAGTCATTGCTTTGGAGTTGAAAGCCCATCCACCAGCGAATTTGGCAATTGCCATGCCCAGGTTAGAGGCCAAGCCAATCCGGGTGATTCGGACGCCGGGGTCGTCTTTGTTGCCTGAAGTTAGGTACGCGTTGTCGTGATGGTGGTGGTGGCCCAATATGCCATGGCTATGACTGTGGTCATGACCGTGGCTGTGATTGTGACCATCTTTGTGGTCGTGTCCTTGGCCTTGGCCAGTATGCGGTCGTATCTGCGACATTGAGGTTTTGATGAGTGAGGGTGGAGATCGAAGTCTGTTGCGAAAGGGAGCGAGATGTGGTAGCGAATTAGTCGAAGGGCGAGCGACGGAGGCAGTATTTGATACGTGGTAGGATGAGAGATTAGACGAGGCTGAGAGGTAGGCGCACGTCGATAGGGCGGCAACGATGGAAGCTTTTTGTAGGGCGCGTAGGCGAAGACGTAGACAAGCGACGTGGGGAGTTGCTATATTTGATCTCAAAAGGGACATCTGGCCTCGGTATTTGGGCTGTTGTGAAATATGGACATTAGGGTGCCCATTGATATGTCCATGTCCATGTCCCCATGAGGCAAAGCCACGACTCGTCTGGTTGTGACTGTGCGTGGCTCTGGCTCCAGCTCTGGGTCCAGCTATTGGCGACGTCACTCCAGCGCCTACGCCTACGCCTGCGCCTGCGCCTGTGCCCGTGGGACGACCGGCCTGCGGTAGACTCATACAGTATATCCGAGATGTTGTCTTGCAGGGAATACGGATAACACGGGAAAGTGGGAGAAGGGGCCGGGTATCTTGTTGCGTGTTTTCCCTTGGAGTTGCGTACTGTAGGTAGGGTCTGAAGCACGGTTCAGATATAGACGAATACTTAGGTTATAGACGAATGTCAGGGAGAGGAAAGATGGTGTGTTTTGTTAACGTCGGGTTATCCAATGTCATATGCCCGTTAACGGAGCTCTTCAAGTTTCGAGTCGGGTTCAATAGAGCGAGCGGATTTGGCTCGGTCGGAAGCGGACCACGGCCACATGAGCGAGTTTAAAGAGTCGATAATTAATTATGCGAAGAAGAGACAGAATTCCCCGACAGCGAGGAGGAAAAAAAAAAGATTATCAAGATTATCAGACATAAAACAAACAGAGTAACCGTAACTTGGGTTAGTAGTTTAGCTCCACCAAAATCCAAACTTGGTGCGGCAATTGGTAGGAAAAGACACCGACCTACGACGCCATTGAGGATAGGATGCGAGGTGAACCCACTATCTACGACACTCTCGCCTGATGAGTGATCGCGAGGTTCCGGTCTCCGGACAGCACAGCCTGATAAGTTAGCAACTGGCAGGGCATGGCATGGCCTGGGAGGGCCTAGGCTTGACCGCTGAGCCATATGTTTTCAGGGATTGGATGGCCAAGTTTGCGTCAGGGCATTCTGCTGTACAGTATGGAAGGTATGGAGTATGGCAATTGAGTAACAACCCAGTAGCCCAGGATACGTGGAAGCAATATCTGTCTTGCGTTCACTCAGTACGATCATGGTTCAGTTCAGAGGCCTGTCTTTACCAATTCTACCCTCGAGTTTACCATCTTCTTTGTCATTATCAGATTCGGGTTGTGGGGGGAACCAAGTGATAAATGCCCACCTCAACCTCCGGGAATTACCTGTTCAGCCACAATGCCAAATGAAACCCTTCCTTAGTTGCAAGGCTGAGTGAGAATCGTCCCTGAAACCAATGACGCGCTCTTCTCCATACACTCACTGGCTCCAAGAATAATTAATCCCTGTAGCCAAATTTACAACCATCTTCATGACTGTATGCCACGCCATCCCTCTTGTCTCATATCAGTCCCTCCCTGTATTTCAATTTTCGTATTCAGTTCGTCATCACTGGTCAGCTCGAGTCAGTGCCTGAGTAGGGCTGACGACTTCAACCAATCCTCCACAAGCGATTGGAAACGGCCTCGTCAGCCACTGGAGATTGGGCTTGAGTTTCACTTTAAGAATTATCATTTCGAGTATTCGTAATTCTCGCGCGTTACGACTCTAAAAGCGGCTCCAATGAGCAAGCCTCTGCTCAGG